GCGGTGAACAGCCAAGTAAAAACATCAAGTACAAATATTAAAATACAGTTAAAATATATATATAAAAATTTGGCCCCATTAATTAAAAACAATAAACAAAACACTTTAAAAAAATTAGGCCAGCCACATGACCACAGAGACATCTTCGGACAGCGCTGGCTCTTCGGCTTTGAAACGGAGATGAGCACCGCCCCCTAGAGTCGGGAACGACTAGCACATATGTGCGAGGGGAACCTTTACCTTTAACCTTACAGTAATTGCAACCGTAACTACAGCTAGATTGTCTTCTGCAGGCCAACCCTTTGCTCCCGAGCCAACCTCACTTGATTCCTGCTTCCCAATAAACATCCATTTTCCCACCGAGTCCCTGCATTTTAGCTCATCCCACCAGCGTGCCGAGATCCCCAATGAGACCTATTCTGCATCTGCTTCTTCTTCTCTCGAAGCGCTCCTGTCCCAAGAGACGGTTCAATGGTCAGTTCAGAATCAGGTTCCTGGTGAACTCAGTGGAAATCCTGCCTTCAGAACCGGATGGGGAAGAAACCGAGGTATTTTCCCAATAGTCCAGGAGCATTTGGAATCCTGCATCCAGTTTTGGTCACCGTGATATTAAAAAAAAAAAAAATGTGGAGACTCTAGAAAGAGTGCAGAGAAGAGCAACAGAGATGATTAGGGGACTGGAGGCCAAAACATACGAAGAACGGTTGAAGGAATTGGGTCTAGTTTAATGAAAAGAAGGACATGATGGCAGTCTTCCAATATCTCAGGGGCTGCCCCAAAGAAGAGGGAGTCAAGCTATTCTCCAAAGCACCTGAAGGCAGGACAAGAAGCAACGGATGGAAACTAATCAAGGAGAGAAGCAACCTGGAATTAAGGAGAAATTTCTCAACAGTTAGAACAATTCATCAGTGGAACAGAAGTTACCTCCAGAAGTTGTGAATGCTCCAACACTGGAAGTTTTTAAAAAGAGACTGGACAGCCATTTGTCCGGAACGATATTATAGACTCTTCTGCTTGAGCTGAGTAGGGAGGGTTGGACTAGAAGACCTCTAAGATCCCTTCCAACTCTTGTTCTGTTATTATTCCGTCCGTTTCAAAGTCTTAACGCCATCCAAGAAGTCTCTTTCCTGTCGAGAGCCTCTTCCCTTCGTCCCTTCTTCCCTCGCCCACCTCCCCCGCCTATTTAATTACGCTGCCCAATTAAAACCTCCTTGCCATGTTCGGATCCTTCTCGGACTTGAGTGGGTCTGACATTTACAAGACTCGGCTCTCAAGCAGACAATAGCGTGATTGATGAGGTGCAGACGCCGGAGAAGAAGGAAGCGTTCCTCTCTCGCAACGGCCGGGAAGGATGCTGAGCGCAATTTGGTTTATTTATTATCTCTTCCAAAACATGCAGGGGAAGCGGGGCGCTTATGGAGAGATGCAGCTCGTAAACGGACAAGATCTGTAACGGGGTTTTTTTGGCGGAGCAGGGCTTGCCCCCCCCCCAGCTCCCGGTCGTATTTTCGAGACCGCTTATGTAAAGCTCTCGTTAAGGATTTCCCTGGCCTGCAAAAATCAACATTTCTCAGATCTTAGGTAGGGCAGCATGCAAGAGGTTGTTTTTTTTTATTTTATTTTTTTTATTTATATGCCGCCCTTCTCCGGAGACTCAATGCTTAACGCATTGTAAGCCGCCCTGAGTCTCCGGAGAAGGTCGGCATATAAATCTAATAAAATAAATAAATAAATGAAGTAATGATGTGCCGGAGACCACCCATCGCTCCCTCCGACAGGTGCGAGCGCGCCCGGCTAGCGAGAAGTGTCGCGCATGATGGATTGAAACCCACCGCCTCCTGTTAACTCGCTGCGCAATAAAACGCTATTGACATCTCTGATTTTCGGCTAACGGCTTCCGAAAAGGGCTGACTCTTTCAAAAGCTAAAAAAAAAATAAGGATTTGAAATAAAGTTCCGCCGTTTTGCTTCTGTCAGCTCGCGAAAGGCTCCAAGCGGGGAAAAGAGAGATAAATCATTCCGGTTTTCCGAAGCCCGGAAGAGGGTCAGCTGTCAAAAGCCAGACAGAGGCACCCCGTTAACAGCCTGCCTGGAACGGAAGGGTGGGGAGGTCAGGCGCTGGTCTCTGAGACAAATCTGACCACTAGGCTGCAGCCCCCTTTTTGGAAAGACCCTCCCTTGGGTTCGGCTGTGTCCACATTGCATTGTTTGCCCTTTGGGGAGGGGCTGAAGTCTCATGAAAAATATGCCCATGTAACCCAAAACTAAGGGACGCGGTGGCTCAGTGGCTAAGACGCTGAGCTTGTCGGTCAAAAAGTCGGCAGTTCAGCTGTTCGAGTCCCTAGCGCCGCGTAATGGGGTGAGCTCCCGTGACTTGTCTCAGCTTCTGCCAACCTAGCAGTTCGAAAGCACGTAAAAAAAAATGCAAGTAGAAAAATAGGGACCACCTTTGGTGGGAAGGGAACAGCGTTCCGTGCGCCTTTGGTGTTGAGTCATGCCGGCCACATGACCACGGAGACGTCTTCGGACAGCGCTGGCTCTTCGGCTTTGAAACGGAGATGAGCACCGCCCCCTAGAGTCGGGAACGACTAGTACGTATGTGCGAGGGGAGCCTTTACCTTTAACCCAAAACTTATTCCTATAGACCAGGAATGTCCAAGCTTGGGAACTTTTTTAACACTTGTGGATTTCAATCCCAGAACGTTCGCTTTGTTCAGCGCCGTTGTGAACTTCGAACCGTCCCTAAATGAGCTGTTGTAAATCGAGGACTACCTGTACTTAAAAATGGCACTCGTGCTAAAAAGCCACTTAAATTGTCGGCAAAATTTAAATTTTGAACCAGATGGCTTATCTTTCACCCGCTCTCTGACATGACCTTGGTCCGTGCTGCTTAGTGGGCAACGAGAGTTGTCTCTGAGTTTAATCCATCTTCAGGAGAACTGGTTAAAATGCCTCTTTGTAGACACAAAATAGTGTATGCAACTTTTTGCTAACCTCACTGTTTTTCCTCCTCTTCTTCTTCTCCTTCTCCTTCTTCTCCTCCTCCTCCTCCTCTTCTTCTCCTTCTCCTCCTCCTCCTCTTCTCCTCCTCCTCCTCCTCTTCTCCTCCTCCTCTTCTCCTCTTTCTCCTCCTCCTCTTCTTCTCCTCCTCCTCCTCCTCCTCTTCTCCTCCTCCTCTTCTCCTCTTTCTCCTCCTCCTCTTCTTCTTCTCCTCCTCCTCCTCCTCCTCCTCCTCTTCTCCTCCTCTTCTCCTCCTCCTCTTCTCCTCTTTCTCCTCCTCCTTCTTCTCCTCCTTCTCCTCCTCCTCCTCTCCTCCTCCTCCTCCTCTTCTCCTCCTTCTCCTCTCCTCCTCCTCCTCCTCCTCTTCTTCTCCTCCTCCTCTTCTCCTTCTTTTCTTTCTTCTCCTTCTCCTCTTTCTTCTCCTTCTCCTCCTCCTCCTCCTCCTCTTCTCCTCTTTCCTAATCCCTGGCAGGTCATGCAATATTTAAGCTCACCTATCTCAGCAACCACGATTACAAGCATCTCTACTTCGAGTCCGACGCTGCCACCGTCAACGAGATCGTACTGAAGGTAAGGCCGAGGGGACGTGTGGGGCTGGCATGTGGGGCCCCGCTTTCCATCCCTTTGACCCAGCCATTGTCGGATGGCTTAATCAATGGGGCAGGAGTTGCCAGCTTAGATTACCCCCCACCCCCACCCCTGTCAAAAAGGTTGGATGGAACGTACTGCTATTATCTTTAGGGCAATTTTTATTTTATTTTATTTTTTTGAGGGACAGGTTTTACATGCCGTTTTTCAATCCTTAAGTCTTTCTCTTTCCTTATTCCCTTTTCTCCCTCCCTCTCTCTCCCATCCCTCTCTCCCTCCTTCTTTTCTTTCTCTCTTTCTTGCCTTGCTTTCTTTCTTCCTTTTTGTTCTCTTTCCTTCCTTTTTCTCCTGTCTCTCCTCCCTTCCTCCTTTCTCCCTCTTTGCCTTCGTTTCTTCCTTTTTCTTTCTACCTCCTTCCTTCCTTCCTCCCTCCCTCCCTTCTTTCTCTTTCTCTCTCTTTTTTCTTTCTCTCCCGCTCTCTCTTTCTTTCTTTCTCTTTCTTTCTTTCTTTCCTTTCTTCTCTTTCTTCCTCTCCCTCTCTCTCTCCCCCACTCGCTTCTTCCAGATGAACTACATCCTAGAATCCCGGGCCAGCACAGCCAGAGCGGATTACCTGACCCAGAAGCAAAGGAAACTGAGTCGCAGAACCAGTTTCAGCTTCCAAAAGGAGAAGAAAACGGGACAGCAATAAAAGGCCGGGCTGGCCTGGAGCCGAACTGAAGAGACCCTGTCCGCTCTGAGGGCTGAGCAGGGGATGCCCTCAGTTGCCTGGGACTTGAAGAGAAGGTTTCCGGCGTTGCGGTGGCTGCCCATCGTCGCAAACCGCAACGGTTGAATGTCCCTTTTAGAGATCAGCATGAGAAGGCCAACGTTGCTGGCCACGCGTGTCGTCCTCGGATGGAAACCAAGAGCCATATCAGCCCGAAGGAGAACGGGCCACTTTCCGACGCCTCCAGGAAGGGGCCCCGTCTAAGCTTGACGTCACAATTGAATTTTTCCTTTGTTTTTTTTTTTTCTTCTCTTTTTGAGTTGGTTTTTTTTTTTTTTTTCCTTCCTTCCTAGAACTCTTTTTCTCCTCTAGAGTCGGTGGGAAAACTGCCACAGGTTGGCTAGGCACTGTCGACAAACAGCCCAGACGGAGAGCTGAAAACCCCCACCCCCCACCCCTCGAAGGGGGAAGACCTCGATCTGTATCTGGGGGGGGCGGAGGGGGGCCTCCCCGCCTTCTCCGACACAAACGCCCACCCACCCCTTACCCCCCCAGGGTGATCGCTGGTGGTGAAGCGATCCAATTTCTTTTAGGGGAAGGAGGGGGAAAGGGGGGGGAATCCCCTCCAGCACCAAGCCAACTTGTAGTACAAATGTACCCCCCCCCCTTTTTACTACTAATAAATTCCTTATACTCTTTCTCAAGGTTTATTGGCAAGGCTGGGTTCTTTCTGTTAAGAGGGTGTTATGTTCTCTGTACGGATTGGGCCAGGTCTCTCGATTGTTCGGATTTGGGTGGAGGGGAGAAGAAGAGGAAGGGTCTTGGAGTGGCGTGGAAGGGAATGGAATTGGAATAAGAGTAGAGTAGAGTAGAGTAGAGTAGAGTAGAGTAGAGTAGAGTAGAGTAGAGTTGAATAGAATAGAGTAGAGTAGAGTAGAGTAGAGTAGAGTTGAATAGAATTGAATTGAATTGAATTGAATTGAATTGAATCTGTCCAGTGATGGCTAACCTTTTTGCCATCGCATGCCAGAAGTGGGGGGAACGCGGGGTGGGGGGGTCACACACATGCATGCCCACACTCATAATTCAATGCGCCCCGCGCATGTGTGCATGGCCGCCACACACTCCCCCTGCTTTTAGCACACAATGGCACAGCGAGCCTCATAGGCCCATTTTTCGCCCTTTCGGGGGGGGGGAGAAAGACCATTTTCACCCTCCCCAGGCTCCTAGAAAGCCTCTGGAGCCTGGGGAGAGTGAAAAATAGGCCTTCCCCATCCCCCACCCCATCCCCAGAGGTCCTCCGGAGGCCGGAAACAGCCTGTTTCCCAACTTCCGGTGGCCCCGGAAGGCCCGAAAATCAGCTGGCCAGGGCGCACGCATGCGCGTTGGAGCTGGGCTATATGGCTCCATGTGCCACCCGTGGCACGTGTGCCATAGGTTCGTCATCACGGCCCTATACCATTCCCTACAGGTGGCGGTCCAGTCTCTTCTCCAGTGATGGAGCCACCCACAACTTCTGAAGGTGACTTCTGTTCCACTGCTTGATTGTCCTCCCTGTTAGGAAGTTTCTCCTTCATTCTGGGTTGCTTCTCTCCTTGAGTAGTTTCCGTCCGTTGCTTCTTGTCTTGCCTCCCGAGTTGTTCCGTGCCCAGCTTTGAGGTTGTCTGGTCACCGTGTTCTTTGGCCGCCTTTTACACCAACTCTTCTTCATAGAATTGCTTCCTCCAGCAAATCCCCCTGCGTGGCACGGCCACGGTAAGCAAGGCACAGTTTCGTTAATTTTTGCCTTCTGGTGACCCGTCTGTTGTTAACTTAATCATAGACATTTGATGGTAGGCTTTGTGCTGCAGCGTTGCACGTTGTTAAGGATATTGTTGTTGTGTTACCAACCAGCAGAGTGTGGAGCACAGAGAAACGTTGCTGAGAGCAATCAATAAGAGATGTGCAAACTGGTTTACCAAAAGTTTACTTTATAGTGGGAAAACAATCTCATAGTCCTTAAATCAATCCAAGTCTTTGCCAGTTAAATCAGTCCAGTGATATCAAATCTTCTTACCACACAAACAGTAGTTGGTTAGAATAACAAACTCACTCTGGTTCACAAACCACGATGGTAGCAGATCCATCCAACCGAAGATAATACAATGGTTGCAACTCCACACACAAGGGTAGCTAATCATCAACTGAATACGTTACAGTACCTTCCTTAAATACGTTCACAACCCAGTGATTATCTAATTACAGCATGACTCAGTATTACAATGAATCAGCAGTAAAACTTTAAAGTCACACAATACATATTCATATTAAAGTCACGGAACACATATACTGCCTGAACAACTTGTTAGGCTCAAACCATATCCTAACACACATCTCCGCACCCTTCCCTCCCGTTAAAGTCCTCGTGTTCTCCACCCAATAGACAGCCAACACTCGTGTCACACGGCGTGCAGGAAGCCTCTGACCCATCTCATTTGGGGTAAACCCCCCCCCCATCATCTTTTTCTCCCCCACAGCGAGAAGTGGTGGGAAAGCTCCGTTGAGCCGCCGAAACGCCAGATAATTAGAAACCCTGCGCTAAAAGTTGGTGATTGTCGAGAGGACGCCATTGTCTACAGTAACGAAGCCATTATTAATGAGCAGCAGGACGGATGTCATTAATTCCAGCTTTTAAGGATCACAGCATAAGGCGCGTTAAATGCTAAAACGCAGGCGGACGTGACGGCGTGATTTATAAACCGAGAACGGCTGCAGCTGAGATGGGGTGGATCCAGGCCGGGCGAAGCAGTTGTGAGGAAACTTCTCTTCCTGGCTGGCTTGAAAGGGAATGGAGAGGAGAGGGCAACACGGCTCTTGTTGGGCGATGCTAAGCCCAGATGGGCAAACAAACTTGGCTTACGTTTGTCTTTCTTCGATGGGTTTAGTATTATTGTTGCTTACAAATGACTCGAAACACAGAATCAACCGAACCTGCCTTTTTTTACTCCCAATTGTCCCCGCAATAATAACCCAGGGAGGTAGATCGTGCTGGGAGAAAGAGAGAGAGACCAGGTGGTTTTCATGACTGAGGTGGGATTAGAACTCGCTGCCTCCTGGTGATTGGCTCAAAGTCACCCAACCAGCTTTCATGCCTAAGGCGGGACTAGAAGTCTCTGTCACCTAGTGATTGGCCCAAAGACATCCAACCAGCTTTAGGGACTAAGGCAGGACTAGAACTCACCATCTCCTGGTGATTGGCCCAAAGCCACTCAGCCAGCATTCCTGCCTAAGATGGGACTAGAACTTCCAATCTCCTGGTGATTGGCTCAAAGTCAACTAGCCAGATTTCATGGCTAAGGCGGGACTAGAACTCACCATCTCCTGGTGATTGGCCCAAAGATATCCAACCAGCTTCAGGACCAAAGGCAGGACTAGAACTCACCATCTCCTGGTGATTGGCCCAAAGCCATCCAGCTGGCTTTGAACGCACCATCTCCTGATTGCTCAAACATCGCCATAACTTGCTAGAGTTTGACATGGTGGCAATAACCTATTCGTTGTTTGGTGTGGACTTTTGTTACATTATGTGTGTGTGTGTGTTTTTTTAAGAGGCGGAAAGAATTAAGGGATTGCCTACCTATATCAAGGGGATCCTGTGCCTCTGAGATGGATCCTGAAGAAGGAAATTAATTCACTCTACTGCTTTTGTGGTCTACGGTCAAGACTTGTGGAGGTGTTTTTCAGCACCATGGAGAGTGGCACCATCAGAGACCCGGAAATTTTGATGCAACCAAATTGGCTGGCTTTTCACGGCGGGAGGCTAACAGCCGAAAACAGTCCTCAAATACAAAATATATTTTGTATGTATTAAAATATATGAAATATCTATTTTAAGCCTTATGGGAGGGGCCAATCATCTCCTGGCCTTACTCCTGAGTCGTCCTTTTTGCTTTAGCTGCTCTTGCCTTCTGGCAGCTCTGCGTATGCGTGTACTAGGAACAGGTTCTTCTTGTTCCTCTGCCTCTCTGCTGTCCGACTCTGGGGGCTCCGAGTCCGCGCATCACTCTGGCCCCATCTCTGCCTCTGGCACAGAGCCCTTGTCCGAGCCTTCCCCAGACTCCAGGACTGGCCCATGTTCCTCTCCAGCCTCCTCACTGTCCGACTCCGCTGCCAGCTCCGGAGGCTGCTGGCAGATCAGAACAACTGGTCTGCAAGGGCCTGATGGCTCAGCAGACTGATAGCATTGTGATTAACACCAGCTGCCTGCAATTACTGCAGGGTTCGAATCTCGCCAGGCTCAAGGTTGACTCAGCCTTCCATCCTTTCTAAGGTAGGTAAAATGAGGACCCAGTTTGTGGGGGCAATAAGCTGACTTTGTATAAATATACAAAAGGATGAAGGCTATTGCTTAACGCCTTGTAAGCCGCCCTGAGTCTCCGGAGAAGGGCGGCATATAAATCAAATTTAAAAAAACAAAACAAAACTCCCAAACCTTGTTTCTTTTCTCATCCTGAGATGCTCGCTCTCTCACTTTCTCTTTCGCTTAATTAAGGGGGGAGGGGGGCGGAGGGAGAGAGCAAGATCGGCCACAAAGTGCTTTTCGGAAGACGGGAGAGCATCTTCCAAGAGATGTCCAGGAGATGTCAATCTGGGCTTTTCCAATTTATAGCCTAACACCTTCATTTGGAGAAGAGCCTGCCACTCAGGCTGCCGAACGCCAGATCCTGTCCAAATTAATAGCAACTCTTCCCTTTCATTATTATGATTAAAAGGACGTCGGCGAAGGTTGAAGCCTGCGCGTGTCGTGGCTTAAAAGCTTGGAGACGTGAGCGGAAGATTGCTTCGCTTCCCCGTGTCTTGTTTTGTGATGACAACTCAGGAAAACATCGGATGAAACATAAGAGGAACGGTTGCAAGAACTGAGTATGTCTAGTCTAGTGAAAAGAAGGACCAAGGTTGACATGATAGCAATGTTCCAATATCTCAGGGGTTGCCCCAAAGAAGAGGGAAACACACAGACATACATTCATAGAGAGAAAGTTACTTTTTCAGTGCCATTGTAACTTTGAATAGTCACTAAGTGAATGAGGGCTACTTGTACGCGCCGTCCCCCCTCCCCAAGCAAACATTTACCCATCAGCTCTCAGGTGAAAACTTCCTTGCCACCTAGAAAAGGGGCTTCCTTCTTGAGATGGTGAAAGTGTTTTTTCCTCCCCCAAAAATATTCATATTTTCACGCCCCTCCGTTCCACCGTTGCCTCATGCTGAGAAGGTGGTTTCGAGAAACTCTGCTCCATCGTTCCCCGTTTGGTTTGAATGATTCCTGACATCCTGTCGGCCATATTGCCAAGTGTCTTCCTGAGAAATGAAGGAACAGATTGCCTTCTTGACAGCAAAGAGGAGGAAGGGAGGGGAAGGTGTGAAGCGGAGTAAAAGAAAGAAAAACTCTACCAACACCAAAAGCTTTCTCCTTTCTCTCTTCTCTCTCTCTCTGTCTCTTCTCTTTTTCTCTACTCTCTCTCACTCTGTTTCTGTCTCTCCTTCTCTCGTGCTCCCTGTTTCTCTCTATTCCTATCTCTTTCTCTTTCTTCTCTTTCTCTCGCCTCTCTCTGTCTCGTCTCTCTCTCTCTGTCTCTTCTCTTCTCTTACTCTATCACGCTGTGTTTCTGTCTCTCTCTCTCCTCTCTCTCTTTCTCATTCCGTTTCTATCCCTCTCTCCTCTTTC